CTTCTCTGGGCAGAATGTAAATATACCAGAGGTAAAGGCAAGCCCCTCTTCACAAGTCTACAAGCTAACATTGAGAGACTCCATGAAGAAACTAAAAATACCTACACCATCTGTGCACTTTTTTTTTTTTTTTTGGTTTTTGGATGTTTGGCTTTTTTTCATACGAGAGACAAACACCTGTCCTTCTAAGAAAGTGCTTCATAAAAACCGATCATCTTTGAGTCCGTGTACAAATGAACAAAATCTCTGGGGAAAAAAATGGATCTTCAGGCATAAATATAATAAAATGGCATTCTGCTGAATGAGAGTCAGATGTCACTGGTTATCTAACAAAAAAGGAGCTGGTGCAAAAATTTTATAGTGCTCCAAAACAGTCTAATTTTTTCTGATATTGATATTCATGTGTACTGATGCAGAATGAATTTGCCTTCTCTCTTAGTCCAGCTTTTAAATGTTGATTTGACAGATCCATACAGAATTTTAAATTTATCCATGTGCTAACACATTTATTATAAGCAAATAAGAGCACAGGCTGTGACTTATCAGTGGCAGCTGTAGCCTACTCTTTGAAAACAAGATGACTCTGGCTTCAGCCAGCTCCCTGAACGAGTGGGAGTCATTCCATACTAGTTTTGACAAAATGTTTTCATTGAAATCTGGGACCCTACTTGCACAGTCTGAATTCCACTGAGTGCTGCGCTCCAATTCTCCATCAGAAGCTGCGTGTGCTGGGCATGGATGTATCACAATGAGGTCTTGCCTGCTGATTATGGCTTTGCAGATTGAATTATTATTTCTGAATGAAACTTTTAACTGCAGCTCAAGTCAAAGCATTTGACAAAGATCTGCTTCTTCAGTGTCCAAACTTAAATATTGTTTAGAAGCTCACATGTTCAATATGTGAGCATCTAAACAATAGTGAWGACAGACTGGCTCTGTACAGGGCCTCTTAAACACACATTTCTCATCACTCAATCTGTGCAGCACAATGAAATCCTGCTCTTGAACTGGGCCTCACATTTCCAGTGAATTAAGAATATTWTTAGAGAAGTTTCCATRGACCAAAGTCTCCAGTGAARGAAAATATAAAGGAAAGAGGAACAYGGGTATAAAATGAGTAAGAAAGCTTAGAAGTGCAAGTTATTCCTATCTTTCTAACTATATTCTTACTAAGCATATAGATTCACAGAGCAAAGGTCACACTTAACCTTCTAATCATATGAAATACATGAAAATAATCCATAAAATAGGAAGGTATTGGTAATGAGACTTGTACTAAAATTCTTTCCTCTGTTTATAAGGTTTCTTTGCTATGAATCAAAAACTGCTGCAGACAGTGTGCAGTTGCACAGAAAGTTAATTTCAGCTGTTTTTATAGATAGATTTCTCAAATAAGTTCTTTTCCAAGTTCAACTATCTCTGGTCGTAATAGAAACATTCCAGCAGCAATGATACTCTATAGACTTATCAGTTCAGGAAATGGGGGGAGATCATCTTGCAGTCAATCTTATGGAGCAGGGGTCCTTAAAATGGGAAAATTAAAGCATATTCTTTCTTTGCTTAGGACAATTGGCTTCAGGGGAACTTGAAGCCATGGCCAGGCTGCAATTGCTTTTACATGCTTAACATCAGGTCAGWTGAGTGGCATGGGACAATATTTACAGCTGAATTTAACCCAACTTTAACTTAGTTACGTAAAAAGTCATGAATAGCAAAAAAATCTTGAGCTGTGTCTGTAAAAAAAAAAATTACTGACAGTACTGGAGAAGTGCAAAAATTGATTTTCAGAGTCTTATTTTTGTTCACATGAATCCAGAAGACAAGATACATTCTCCTTAAAAACAGACTACCGGATACTGAAGCCTCTCAGACTTCATTGAATATATAGAATTTATAAAAGCTAAATAGTAGAATAAAACCAACATTTTGGTAAGAAAAATGTATGCCTTATTAGGATTAACTATTTCAGTCCTTCCATAGCCAACAGTAACAATCTTGAGAGCATCTGGTCACATAACCTCTCCACAGCAAAGGTCTGTACTAAGGGCTATCAAGGGTTAGGATGTTTTCAAAGGCAAACTGTTTACTCGAGGCAGATTTGATCAAGGCTCATGTTTTTCCAACAGGCAGCTAGCTTGCTTAAGCCCTTTTTWAAGTCCTTTCCCTAGAGCTCATCCACTGAGCTTTTTGGGCTGTGTATTTCAAGCAGCAGCAAAGTGCCAAGTCAAAAGCAAAGAATTTGTTTATAAGACAAGCAAGGAAAAGACAAAGAGCAGAAGTTAATGCTGCAGATCATTGCAAGCTTCAGAGAATACAAGACAATTGTTTTAGAGACAGCTAAAAATACCTTGTAAGASTGTTTGCTCTTCTGCCAAATGCATCCAATACACTGAGAAACATTTGCAGAATCAAAATATTTATGCTATGAAGTAGCAGCTCGTACTTTAGAAAACTTATAGCTGATTAAGTTACAACTGCATTTTTCATTATACAGAGAAAAGCTTTTCAACCACAGCCATAAGTAAATATTGCCTTTGTTGCAACATAATGTTAAAACAGAAAAAAAAAAAAAAAAAAAACACCAAAAAACCAGTGAATGATTTCTCTAGATCACAGTTACCTTGGTGTAACTATCAATGCAGTTTAGGATAAAATACAATTTTACTTTCTAACCTTTTCTTTGCAGTGTGACATAAATTGTACTAGAAATGCACCCTGAAAAAAAGAAATAAGAGAAGGGGCTGTACAAAAATAAATTGAGTCACGTGGCTTCACAGGAAGCTTTAGAAATTATTGTTACATATACTCAAAAATCTTGTCTCAACTCAAAATTCAATACAACTCTTCATTTGTAGTCCAGGGGAAAAAAGAAAGTTAAAGGTTTCTATAAATCAAACTTCAGACAAACTTTAATGCAAAGTGTCAAGTTCAGCGTCTTTGTTWATTTCAATCACCAGAAAATTTTGCCTTTTTATGGGGAAAAAACAAAGAGAAGTGATTTAAATCATGATCAGAGTGAAAATTCACTGATGAAAATCCAAGTTTTCTTACCATATTTAGCAAACGCCAAAACAGTATTTACAGCAACATTAACAGTGCAGCTGTGAGGCTGCCAATATTGCCTCTGTGTAAAACACATTTTTCTTCCTTCTTTTTTTTAAGTGTTTTCTTCACTTTTCCCCTTCTTTCACTTTTCCCMTTCAAAGACACAAAACCTAGCAAGAATTTAACATATTGTGGTATTTGTATCATTGGAGCAACAACTTGTTCAACAATCTCCAGCTCCTGCATTTATTTTTAGTTGCTCCCTTTTGCTGTAACCCAAGAAAGAAAATCAAAAAATGATACACATGGGTACCAGCCATGGTGCTACAAATTGGTTCTATCAATTGGTGAGGCTTTTCTCTGGAGATGTGTTTCAATTTCCTAAGGGGGAAAGTGAGGTACAATGATGATTTAAGGAGTAAGAGATGAAGTCGTGTGACTCAATCTTTGGTTCASCTGCAGTAGTAACTGCCTCCACCATTCTCTTCATGTTGGTATCATCCAAAAATATCTGCACTTGCCATGCTCCTCTCTGCTATGTCCTTCTCACCAATCCAGCCAACTTGTCCCTCAAATCACCACATAAGCATATATGTATATATATATATATATATATATGAAGGGGGAACTAGCACACAATTTCTGACTGTAAATTATGTCCCAACCTTCAGCCTGCCTGTGTACTTAGAAAGTACAGTAGATACACGGGACTTCTGTGTTATTCTCTGCGTCTGTGTTATTCTCTGCAACAGTGAATATACCAGATAATTGCCCTCAGTTGACCTCACGGTGTAATAAATACATAACAAACACCATCTGACTTCTCAGGATTTGTCAGAGTACAGGAAGAATGGGCAGATGAACCAGTGCTTATAAAAATGCAGGTAGATCAAGGGTCAGCATCTTCACATGTAGAAACACAACAGACAATTCATATTTATCTCAGGACTGCTCAGAAACTGGTTCAAGATGAGACACACTGATGAGCAAACACAGGAGGATATGCTGCAGTTTCTGCTGCTTCTGSTGGCATTTGCTATTTAAGCTCACTTTCTTGTAAGTCTTCAAAAAGTCTTAACTTGGTTCTTTATGGTGTCATAACTTCAAAATACCTACTATGTACTGCTATTCCATCTAGCCTATAAGCTGGTAACTGATTTTTCTTGGTAGATTTGGAGCTCCAAAGATGCATAAAAACCCATTAATATAGCACAAAGTGAGCCCTAAAACAAGCATTGTCATACTTAAAAGGTTCAGAACATGTTCAGTGTGAATGGATGTGTTATAGAAATTGTATACACATCTATTCAAGAGAGCTAATAGCATCAGCATTAATTACCAGAGCAAAATRTTTTGTCACCCAGGAACAGAGTTGAACAGCAGGTTTCCACATTCATGCTGCTCATTTACAAGGCTTTCAAAGAGCTGGTTATGCTCTTTTTGTAACAGCTTAACCAGTATCAGTCATCATGGCCTCCTACCTTGGTTGAAGACTAGACCATGCCATATTATAGTTTTCCCCAGAGCCCCTCACAACAGAATAGAGTTGCAACCAAAAGCACTGATACTCAAAAAAATAATCTCTTCTCAGGCCCCTGAGAATTCACATGAATTTCCAGAAGCCCAAAGGCAATCTTAATCTACTCTTGTAAAATTAAGACACAGATTGGTAAATGGAATGAGATTAGCAAACCTTGTAACTACTGACTGGCTAATGTGTGGAACTAGAAAGCAGACTCAGAGGTATACATATGTTCCCATAATTACACTCCATGGTTCTCTTGTGCCTTGTATTCCAGCAAATACAACAGGCAGACATGGCTTCTATCACACTGCTTCTATTACTATTTTAAAAGATCCTGCCTCTCAAGATGCTGGTGCACATCTGCACACAAACATCATCCAACATAGCCAGCGCAGACTGTGTAGGAAAGAAAAACAAATACAAATTTTGAAAACAGGGTTTTATTTAAATTTATCAAAACGTCTGAAACTTAATTCAGGAAAGGTACTTCAGACTTTAGTCTCTTTTCTTTTTTGCTTTGGGTTTTCCTGACATCTGAGATAATTCACTTTCTTCAACTTCATCACAATGCTTTCTTTTCTTTTTCTTTGACTTTTTATGGTCACTTTGGTAACCACTGGAGTCACTGGTAGGCAATACAAGTTCCTGCTCTCCTTGCACCACTAATTCCTGTTCTTCTTGCTTCTCCATTTTCTTTTTCTTTTTCTTTTTCTTTTTCTTCTTATCATCACATAATCCATTCACAGCACCAGCACTTTGCTCTTCTTCATTTTCCCTCCCAAGGTTATCCATCCCATTTAAAGGCTCTTCTGGGACCTTCTCTTCCCCACAGTTATTCAAACCATTTTCCTGCTGGTCAAGCTTTTGAATTTCGTCCCCATTTGTACTTTCAGTGACTACGTCACGTTTTTTRGGCCGCATGCTGTAAAAAAATATACAGAATAAACTGAATTAGAGACATGTTAGGGRACCTCACACAGTGAAATGTCAGAAATTACTAAAACAAATATTTACACCAAGCAGATAAAAATAAACATTTGCTAAAAACAACAAATGGAGAACACGATCATCTRTGCTGGAGCATATATTAACACTTTCAGAGTAATTTCTATTACCTTACTAGCTTCTGCTTACCACATAATAAATATTCTTTTTTGAATCTTAGCCTAAATTTCTTCTCTAAAGTGCCATACAAACTTGGTATTTCCTCTTTTCTTGTGCTACTTCATCCCTTAATTCATAATTTCACATTGTGTAGTAAAGCTTTTTTGGTGTTTTTAAGTCACTCACAAAAACACACAGATAGCGGCCTAATCAGTCGTACATGAGGCTTCTGATTTTACCAAGCACCTGCCCCTTTTTAATTAAAACAAAGGTGATGCCAGAAAGGTATGAAAAACTGAAAAAAAACCTCCACAAAAAAAAMCCCAAAACAACAAAAAACCCCACCCCCAGCAGGTACCTTGCAACCAAGAGTACTGGAGAAAATGTCTAGAAGACAAATATGGAAAGAATGCAGTTAAAAACCATGGAGGTTTTTATGTCCCCAGGGGCACTGAAGACAAAATTGCTACRTTTCATTGTAAATTCACTGAAAAGATCCAGAGCATCCTTCCCGATTAAAAAAAAAGAAAAAAACGACAAAAAACGCCATGAACTTGCCAGTGGGAGTCATATATACATTAAATTAAAAACAAAACTATGCTGGGAGAAAAAAAACATAGCTCAGTGAATGTTTTAACTTTAGAAAAAAATTTGAATGAACTCTTCTGATGACAAGATTTCTTGCAAGATGYCCTAAAAATTTACAGAGGCCTAAGGAGGAAGTTGACACATTTTCTCATATCATCTTTGAAATTCCTATGTTTTAGCAAGTATTTAAGTCACCCATATCTAATTTTTTGTGATTATGCAATATATCTGCACTTGATGGTGTGTAAATGTCAATGTAACCACTGTGTTCAGGAGCCCTGGAATGTTTGCACTTGAAAAGCCTGTGCACAGAACTACTCTTAGACACCAGAATGTGCTATTTGGCACAYGTACTATACATGCAATCAACAATTCATAGGTCAACATACTCAGATTTTTAAAGCTCAAGAGATTCCTAGTTTTACTTTTTCCAGATAAAATTTTCATGTGAGTCCCAAGCAGTGGAAAGTTTAGATTAAGACAACTAACACAGGTTGTATGTAGACAGGGATTTGTGTAACAATAAGAAAGCTTAAAGATTAAGATGCAATTAAAATATTTTCATTTGCAACAAACCTATTAAACCAATTAAAAATATTCTCTGCTAAGGCACCATACCTGCTTTTAGTGAGTCCTCCTCGAAYGAAGAACACACCAGCTGCATCAGAATCCAAGTGCAACACTTGAAATTTCAGTTCATCMCCTATTTTGAACCCCAGCTCTTGCCACTGTACAATGGACATTTGCTCAGGYTTAGGAATAGATGCATTGAAGCATCCATGTATCAGGCAGCCAATATGACTGGGAGCCACTTTATTAATTACACCCTAAAAAAGAAAAAGAATGTCATGCAACTCTATAGCAAAGATCAGCCCTTTAAATGAACATAATAAATAGTTTTCTATATAGAATAAGGAGTATGTACAAATTATGAAGTCAGTTTATTSAGCAAAGAAGTTGAATCTCCTTCACTAAAATAAAGCTATTCCTGCATATATATTCTTTACTATATATACTTTGTAATAAAGTGTTTATAGTACTATATATTATACTACATGCACTTTATAATATATACTCCATTATACATACTGCATTCAGTAGGTTTCTGACACATCTGCATGTGAAATCATATCTACCTTTGTCTTGCCTAAGAATGAATGACAGATGCTGAAAAATGTCCTTTTCTCTTCCTAGGAAGATGGCACAATTAAACACAATTATAAAGACATCAGCTAAGCTGCAAAAAGTATGGCACAACAACGAATGTAAGCCAGCTCTCAACATACTTTACCCACAAGTGCTGAGCAAGGGCACTGACAAGCTTAAAAGCCATTCTGTGAGCCATACACCTCCTTTACTGAAGGCAGGCTTCAAACAGATGTACTGCTCTTGTGCTTGAAGGAACAGAGCTCCTGAGAGCATCCTGAACATTCCTGTCACTGTAATAAACACATCTGTTTGACAATTACCTGCTTTTCAGAAAGAAGCACTGATATGATCCACACAATTATGATAAAGTATTTAATATGTAATCCTTATGATATAATGTTTAAGCAATATGTAATTATATGTAAAGTCAGCAAATCCAGGGACAGTCAAGACAGAACAGATTTCAGTAAAAACTACTAGTACAAACTGCTCATAAAGTGCTATGAACTATTCATACATGAAGAAGCTAATACAAACTAAAATACATCTCCCACTAGGCCCCACACCTGATGCTGGAAATAAGCCAAGCTTTGACCACTTCACAGAAAAGGCCGCCCCGAGAGCCGCCGAGGAGTTTACATACCACCAGCTTCTTCCCCTTCTTGGGGCTGAAGATGATGAAGTCCGCCTCGATATTCAGGTGGATGAACCCTTGGTCGTCGTAGATGTCGCCGAGCTCGCCCACCACTTTGATGTTGTCGTAAGCCACCGGCACACCCTGCAGGCTGCAAGGACAAGGGGAAGGGGGGCACGGTTAGCCTTCGGGCCGCTCCAGCCCTCCCGACCCGCGCCGGCCCCGCGGCCGCACCTCTCGGAGTAGCGCAGGAGCTCCGTGTCCAGCTGAGCGCGGATGCCCGAGCGCTTGCGGCCCAGGAAGCGCGGCGGCAGCGCCACGTGTCGCCGGTGCGGAGCGGCCACCAGGCACGAGTAGCGGCGCCCCACGAGCGCCCGCGCCGCCGCGAACGACGGGGCGGTGGCAGCGGCGGCGGGCGGCGGCAGCGGCGGGGCGGGCGGCGGCTCCCGGGACACGGCCATGCTCCGGAGGAACCGCGGCGCCCCGCGATGGCGTCAGGCGGCTCCCCCCACCGGGCCGGCCGCGGGCAGTGACGGAGTTCCGGCCGTGTGGGGAGTGCGGTGTTCGCGTTCCGATGTGCTGTTTCGTGCCCGGTGCGATCGTGCCGCGTCTTTGGTTTCCTCTTTCCAGCTGATTTTGCAGCTCAGAGTCACAGAATATTCTGAGGTGGATGGACCCACAGGGCTCATCGAGTCGTGCTGTGGAGTGAATGGCGAATGCGGGGACCGGGCCCGTGGCCTTCAGTGAACAGTTCCACATCGCGCCCCTGTTCGCCCCGTGAACCGAAACCAAACACGCGGTCCTTCGTCCCGGAGATACGATAGGATGGCCTTTAAATTTAAATTGAACATTTGGTGATTTGGACACATTACCTTGAATAGCGTTCTTCATGTATAGCAATTTTTTTAAGAATACAGAATTTGTTTAATGTTGCTGGACCCCAGTGTCGCTGTTGGCCAGACAGMAGACACAGAATAACAGACACAAAGACACACATATATACACAAAAAAAATTAACCCCTTTATTCTGAAACAGGCCTCTTTTATCCACTTTAACAACCAGTGCATACGTTTGTGTCAAACATACATYAGTTAAGAAACAACTGTTTACTAATCAGTATAWGATTAGTAAGTTTGCAAAAACTACRATATTASTAATATTTATAATTGTTAAYCACCTACGTTATCAATTCTACATTCCAATATCMTTTTCTCAAAAGTAACCAAAAACGTAGTGTTTTTCTCCCATGCAAGCTGTTGASAMTCCCCTACACCCCAGATCCAGTTTGTGCATGTGGTGAGAAACGTTTAGATGCATTTATGAACCACATACTGAGGAGAAGAAAAACATAAGTCCCAAAATGAGTTACTGGTGCACTGTACCCTGCCATGACTTACCAAGTGGGCCTGCAATACTACAAATAGAGATCTTGTCCTGTTGTAAATAATGGAATAGCGGCTGGTTAGTGAAGACTGTCCAGAAAAGTCATTCAGACTTTATATCCACGCAAAGTGTTGCACTATTSTCTTGTGATTTTACTTTAAATTGATTTAACTGAACCCATGCTAAACCTTGCAAAGGTGTTCTCTCATTGATTTAAACCTAATTTATATCAACCTAACGTTACAGTAAATGTAGAGTTTCAAACTGATTGAATCCACATGGGGAATTACAAAAAAAAAAAAAAAAAATCAATTGACAGATCAGTTTCATTAAAGGTGTTAAAATTCCCTTTGTGCTGTGGAGGGCTCAGAAACAGTGTTGTTTTGTGAAAACAAGCTTTATGTCAGATACCAGAAATCTTTGAATCCCCTATAAAACATTAAGTGAYGCAAAAGCCTTTGAAACTACTCAAAATATTACATCACCAGAAAGTTTTCTTTGACTGAACATACTATGAAGACAGGACATTGTTAGTTTTCACAAGTAAAACAAGTGGTATAATTTGCAGTACTTTACTGCAARTAAAGTTGGATTAGTGTGAAAGARCTGACATAAAAATGGCTTTCAGATGTCAACCAAACTTCCAAAACTGAAAGAGAAAACTTCTTGAACGACTGTAATCTTTATTCCTATGTGGCTTTAATCCTCCAAGGTATTTAATGTCTGTTGAAATTAATTCTRTGTTATACGGGCTCAGCTTTCTGGAAGAAATACTGTATTTTTTATTTCATCTATTTCCATCATATTTAAACCTTGCAATGTGCTTTCAATCTTGGTTAAAGACCTTATACAATAACTGCGTGCACTCCTATTCCTGAAAGAAATACATGTTTTATAACTTATGAGTGGATTTAGTTTGCAGTGAGAACACATAATACACTACGGGCTCTACTCAGTTTTTTCCAGGATAATAAAAAAACTACCTCTTCTCTTGAAATAAAAACTAGGAATAAGATGGAAAGGTAACATGAGCAAAAATACAGACTTTTGTCTTTCACGCTGTAGTCAGGTTGGACAAGATAGTKTCAGAAGGGCTTGTCTCTCAGGGCCTGCAGCTATCCAAGGTTATCCCCATGGACTTCTGTCCCCAGAAAATTCCCTACAGAGATCGAGTTTGTAATTTCTAATTGAATCTCCATTTAGCCCTTCTACTGTGCTTAATTGTCATTGCACAGTGCTTTTGAGACTTCTGGATTTCCTTTCATCTAAAGTAATGACGAGAATGAACCTTAAATCCTAGTGCTCACTGAGCCTGTGGGGTAGGCCAGAGATAATTCAAAATAGCCAGTTTGAAACCTGTAGATACTTGGCCTCAGCACCAGCTGTTTTTGTCTGCAAGTCCACACCTGTCAGGTCACACTGCTTGCTGTTGCAGCCCAGCTTGTTTGTTCCAACACCAGTTGTTACAGGCTTCAGACTCGTGGTGTGACTTGGGCTTTCATTACCTGACTGTAACATATTCTGATGAAAGAAGGGAATCATAATCCAACTGCCACCTCCTCCAGCCACAGATCAGTTCTTAAAACCATCTGGACCATAAGACTTAAATCCTGATATTCCCACATTAATTTCTTGGTTTCTTTTTCTCCCCTAGTTGTATATTTTCATTTCTTGATGTTAGCTTTCAGCTTAAGAAGTCTATCTCAGCTGACCTTTCAGCAGCACTGCAGTGAGCCTATGTCCAAAAAGGCAGCTAAAATCGACGTCTAAAGCACAGCTGTTGGTATGTTTGCCAAGTCCCACAGTAGCTGATAAGACTGTGCTGAGYCTGTTTTTCACTAGAGGTCAGGCTGCCAGTAACAATGGGGACCAAACCCAAAAGCTGTATTTGCAATCACTGCTGTTCTTTTCATTCCTGCCTTATCTACATTTGTCTTGTTTTCTCTGTGAAAGGAAGGCCAGGTTCCAAAAAGATTCCTCGACAACCACAAATTCAGCCCCTCTCAGCTGGTCTTCCCATGCAGTCATTGCCATCTTCCATCCAGAGTTTCTGAATTGACAATGTATGTTGGGTAGAAAGCTCATCCAACTGCCCATTAATTCTCTGTTGTGGCAGGAGCAACTCATTCATTCAGAAGGCAACCTGCATCCAGCCTTCAAATCCTGGGAGCCTTAGCTGTGACAGAGTATAGTGCATCTCATGCAGAGTGGAAGAATGCCTGCGGCAGTGTGCTGGAAATACACTCTGCCCTCGGACTGTGTGCTCAAAGGCTCCRTGCATTTTGAAATTGATTCCATCACAAATTCTTGATCCCACAACTTGCACTCTGACTGTGTTTGCTGTCAGAAACAAGGATCAGTACTCAAACTCTCAGTTTTGTTTGAAGCTGTGTGGTAATAGGTTTGCCTCAATATCTTTGACCCTCATCTCAGATAGAGACTAATTCTAGCATGTTTGTTCATTCAGAAAAAAAGCATCTAAATGCCACTGAGGATGTCAGCTTGTGGTCCTATATATGGAAATCTGTTAGGCTAGTTTTGTGAAAGTTATTTTTGAGAGGGCAATTTTTTTGATATAAAAAATCTTACCAGTGCAAAGGGTTAGCTGAAGTTAACAACAGTTACAGTACTAACGGCTCATTTGACTGCAGATGTGAGAGGAGTTATATCTGTCAGGCAAACATCTAATTTCAGCAAATACAGGATGCTAAAATGAATACTGTCATTGACCAAAGAAGGTAGATGCTCCTGACAATGTATCAGGACTCTCAAATTGCAGGGTTTGTACTTTAACAAAATGTGCCAAATGCTGAAAGTCCACCAGATGGCACACGAAAGCCTTGATATGGAAAAGTGCTGTTATCCAAGAGGAGAGTAACAGCATGCTTGGCTGAAAATTTAATCTGTGTTACACTATGCAGACTCCACTTTGTTTTGTCAGCAATTAGTAGGTCAGTCTAATAGCTAGGAAATGACTTAGAAAAACATTAAGGGACAGAAATGCGATAAGACAGCAATTATGTTAATTTCTTTCAGTTAATAATTTGTCTTGATTTGTAGTGACATTCATGATGTAAGGACARAGAGCTGTTGGAGTGAGTCCAGAGGAAGGTCACGAAGATGATCAGAGGGCTGGAGCACCTCTCTAGGAAGACAGACTGAGAGCTGGGATTGTGAAGGCTGAGAAGAGAAGGCTCCAGGGAGACCTTACAGCACCTTCCTTAAAGAGGACTTAAAGAGGACAAGAGAGCTGGAGAGGGACTTTTTACAAGGGTATGGAGTGATTGGGCAAAGGGAAATGGCTTCAAACTAAAGAAGGGTACACAAGTTAGATGGATGAGGAACCTGTTAGGATGAGATGCTGAAACATGGCACCCACAAAAGTTGTGAATGTCCCTTTTCTGGAAGTGTTAAAGGCCAGATTGGATGGGACTATGAGCCAATGGAAGGTATCCCTGTCCAAAGCAGGATAGGTTGGAACTACACGATGTTTAAGGTCTCTTCCATCCAAACCATTCTATGATTCTGTGCTTGGGATGGACATCTTTGAACAGTTGGGGACTGACCAGATTTGCTTTTGGCCCTTGTTTCTCTAGGCAGGTTATTCCCTGCTGGGAAATGGCTGATACAGCTGGAGATCACTCTTGTGGAGATAAAAYACCTGATATTTTACTGATATACTGAAAGAACTGTTCAAGTAGCTCCCTGGCCTTTTATCTGTAGAAATGAAGGAACCTGATGTCGGATGCCTGGTGCTGACTGTGGTGTYCCTCTTCAGCTCTACTGGTGCTTGAAAGCATAGCTTCAACAACAAAGCCATCCTGTGGAGATCTGGCTGTTGGTCTAATGCTGAAACTCTCTTGTGTGCTTCCAACCAGTGAGTGAAGTATCTTCAGATAGGGGTTCAAATAATGTGATAATGTGACTTTTCTCCTATATACAAGAGGTGATGTTGCCACAGAAACAAGGGAGGAAAGTGGTCTGTGCCACTGTAAGAACAGTAGGGCTTTGCTACAGCACTCTGAATGCTCCTGATGAATGATGCTAWCAAATGAGATGGATGCACAGGTTGTAAATGAGGTAAATGAGGTGTCTCTT